TTCCCGGACCTGATCTGCTCCTACTCTGGGTTGTTCTTCACTCTTGTCTCTGATGATACTTTTCAGCTTTTGGCTTACTTGCTGATCATTTTAGTGAAAGCAGAAGCCTGTAGAAGGCAGAATTAAGAGTTGCTGGAGGGACGTGGTAGAAGAAGGGAGGGACAAATAGCACAGCAGGGGAACACAGGAGCACTGCAAGGGTTATTGCCCCAGGGACAAGTGTGGATTGTAGAGGAAATAGATCTGGAAATTTATCTTAGCCCTGGGGGGCCCCTTGAGTTCACTGTGGCCTGAGCATAAAAGAGAGTTGCTGAATAGTTCCAATACAGAAGGAGTGAATTTGTAAATACATATGTACATACATATATATTGAAATAAATATATAAATAGTAAAGAAGATTGAAAACATTAAAAAATCCTGAGCAATTGCTTGGAAACAGCTCATTTAAGTCCAGGTTAAAGACTGCTGACAAAGGAACTCCTCTGGCGCATTTTTTTGCCTTCATTGATAAGCACCTGAGAATCTCTCCTTTCTGAGGTTTGTACAAATCCAGTGATCGAGTGATCAAGTGATGACTACTCAGGCACCTACTCTGGAAGCGTGATGGACTGCATGCTTCCCACTGCTCTTGAACCTGATGCCTTCTGTGTCTGAATACTATGTCTGAATACTAACCCTTTTCTTTTGTTACATCTGTCCTTGCAGGCATATATGCTGAAGTCCTTTGAAATGAATGGTCTGCCCAAGGCAGTGCCTTTAAGTTTGCCTTGCCAAGACTTCAGAAAAGATGTGTCAGACTACTGGGAAAAGCCCAAGGTATCCCAGCGGATAAAGAAAGTGGATTTCTCAAATGTTGTCTTGACTGCTCCTTGCAAACCTCTGGAACCTTATTTGGAAATGAATGGAAAAGAGGAGGAAGAAGAAGACGAGGAAGAAGATGAGGAGGAGGAAGATGAGGAGGAGGAGGATGTGGAGGAGGAAGGCGATGAGATTGACATGCACAGTGGTTCCAGCAGTGACCTGAGTCAAAAAAGCACAGAGCGCAGCCAGGAGTGCGCACCATCCACTCTCCTGGCTGATGACCAGAAGGGATCCAAGGGTCGAGCGTCTACTGCTGATGGGGACCTGGAGCTGGAGGAAGGCTCAAAAACACTAGTGCTCTTTTCACCAGGTGATCTGAAAAAGTCTCCAATGACCACAGACTTGGCTCCAGAAGTTGATCTGGGCACTCTTGCTGCACTGACACCTCAGAGCGAGCGGCCACAGCCCATGGGTAGCCAACTGGATGTATCTGAGCCAGGGACCCTGTCCTCAGTCCTTAAATCTGAACCAAAGCCTCCCATGGCAGTGGCTACAGCTTCCTCCCCCTTTACCAAAGTTGAGCGCACATTTGTTCATATTGCTGAAAAGACCCACTTAAATGTCATGTCTTCCAGCGGCCAGCTGATGAGGCATGAGGAATACTGCCCTCCGGGCCACTTCGAGGAGGTCATTATCGAAGAAGAGCTGGAGGACAACCTGGCCTTGGTAGAGAATGGAAGCATACATTCGGGGCTAGAAGGGGCAGAGACAGAGAGCTGCGTGCTTTCGGCTAATCACATCGAAACCACCTCAGAGACAGTAGGGGAGCAGCTGCCCCTTCCCAATGGCGTAGCAAAGCCCCCCGAGGACAAGCCAGAGCAGTCCGAGAAAGTGGCACTCTCACTGGACTTGGAAGAGCCTGGCAAGATGGTTACAAGGGAGCCTGAGCTTGAAAAGTCAGCAGCAGCAGCAGAACGCCTCAAACGAGCAGAGACCCTCCTCGACACACTGCAGCAGGGCCCCAGGAGACCTCTGGGCTCCCGGTATAGAAGTAGGATACCCATTTTGTTCTCCGAGGAGGACACTGGCTCAGACCTTTCTACTTCACTCTCGGCCAAAGAAAGGCTTTACAAGAGGGCAAAGCACCCTGACTTGGCTCGCCTGGTGATGGAGAAGAGGCAAAACCGTCTCCTTCGGCTGGCTTCAGGGGCCTCCTCTTCAGCATCCTCCAGCGAAGAGAGGCGGCGGGCCTCAGAAACTCTGTCGGCCACTGGTTCTGAGGAGGACACCCACGACTCCGATGACTCCATCCCAAGGAAGGCAGGGAGGGAGAAGGCTGCCCTCCTGGGGAAAGAAGAGAGACCCGTAAGCACAAAGAGCAGAATTCCTCGGCCCATTACGCCGGTGAAAACACTGCTAGAGACAGCAAAGTCTGAGAGCTCCATGGCCGTGGCGATGGCAGTGCTAGGTAGCTCCCCCCAGGATGTGGCTGTTGCCTACAGGTAAGACCAAAATGGTGAGATATACAAAACGTTGGACTTGTTAAGGAGGTGCTGCCGGGGATTTGCTCATCTCCCACTGCTTTACCCTTAACTTGGCTTGAACATGTGGTCCATCCCTGTTTCATATGGTCATTTCAGCTCACCGCTGTGTGGAATTCCCACCTCTTTGTCTTCTGTGGCTCAGTCTGGCCAAAGTCTTGGCTCAGTTTAGCAAGTATGGCCCCTCTTCACTTACCTTGGCTTTGAGACCTTCTTCACTTCCACAAGCTCTTTCTGATCCTGCTAATAGCAGATCTTTCCAGTGTTGAGCTCTCAGTTTTGCTCTCAGGCACGGCCATGACAGGCCTGGCTATTGCGGTTTGAGCTGCAAGGGCTGCAAGGCTGCCAGTTAGGATTGCTTCAGAAGATGGCCAGCACGCAAAGACCTGGAGAGGGGGAAGTGCACAGGCATGGGCTTTGGCAGTGACCTGAAACAGCATGCACCAACTCCACATGATCTGAATTCCCTGCAAACCCCTGTGCCTTGATTTTTTTGGAGGTACCTGGCTCTCTGTCAAGTAAGCACAAAGTTGTAAGTGGAGGTGGACCTTCTGAATGCACCAGTATTTGTTTTTCTGCCTGGTCTTAGGGCTGTCCAGCCCAGGAGCAGAGCTGCTGTTATGGCTCTGCCACAGGTACAGCAAATTCTGCTCTTTCAGAGATGTGAGCTAAAAAGGGGCATCCCTGTGGGTTGGTTTATCTTCCAGCACAGTTATGTGAAAGATGTTGCTGCATCCATGTTAAGAAGAGTTCCAGATATGTGCTATTGGCCAAACCATGCCTATGAGTTGTCCCAGAGGGTGCTGGAGGATCAGGGCAAACACTTACTAGTTAACAGCATCAGAAGTTACGGGATGGTGTTGAAGCCAGTGCCCTATCTTGTTCACAGTATAGCTCCTGTCATCGTGGTGCTCTATAGATTGGGGACTGACCTGCTGGAGAGC